ACAACCTCACCTTAGCGCTAACTATGGGTACCTTCTGGAATGCCAACTGAGGATGATATACGGCGTGCAAAGGACAAGATCAATTTGAAGGGAATGGGGCCACACTGACGGCAAGTCTGAGTCTTCCTGTGCTGTAAGCATGGAAAATCTTCCAAAAACGTAAACTGTTTAGGCCGACCTTCATGGCGGGTGAGATGAAGGGGGCTGTTGGGAGCGTAAAATTTTTCAAGGGTCATTTGAACAAAAAAAAGCATGGAGCAAACTAAAAAATGCACCCTTCTGTTACTTATGATACACTTATTGATTTTCATGTCAAAAATAAGTAAGTGGGGCAAGCTAATCGCAGATATTTTCTGGAATATTTCTTCTATGAGACAAAATTTTCCTTTTTGTCTATCGATGGACTTTTGGCCGTGGACTGAGCCGTGGACTGAGCCTTTGTCATTTTGTGGACTTTGTTCTCAAGGCCTCAAGCTAGTGGTTATCAAGGCATCTCCATTATAAATCTGGACGGCTGTAGTGTTGGACAGCTCTTCATACTGTGATTTGTAACTTAACTTTTTAACTTCTTGAGTGCGGTTTTGCAACATTCCTACAGCCTGTTCTTCCAACAATTTGACTCAGCAGAAGTGATTAATTGTTACACAGTCCCATCAAAAACATATATTAGCAGAGCCCGAAGCCTTCTATTTTAAAATGTTGTAATATTAGATTTCTATTGCCGGTGGCTCCTCAGGTGGAATAAGCTTTTAGCCGTTTCGCACGGCCTAAACATGGCTCGCTGTTCGAAAAATGATACGATCTTGTTCACTGCAGATGTAGGGGCGTGTCAGGAGGCAGGGGTTTGGCGTGGGGCCAAACCCGTTTTTCACCAGTTGTTGAAGCGAGCAAGCGGCAGACTGTACCACGTCGTCTATATCATTCATTTTCCACCGACTGCTGTTGCATATCCGCTTCAACAGCTGGTAGAGATCGAGCTGGCGGGGCGCCAACCAGCCTCAGCGACACGCCCCATCATCCGCAGTGAACAAGACTATACAGGAGGATGAGTTAGTTGATTTGAGCGTTTTCGATAGCATTTAGGTATTTATCTAGTGTGAGGAATTCTTTTAGAGTTGCGCCCGGCAGTACAACGCTGGCCTATGTTGCCAGCGTTGTACTGCCGGGCGCAACTCTAAAAGAAATAAGCTCAGCACTTCGCTATCAAATGGCATTTGCTGGAGTTGATAATGAGTTGCGGTTTTTTCATTATCCTCAAAACAGAAACGATTGAAACAAACATAACTCATTATGACATTCAGCTCGTGCTACGTATGCCTTCATGGCAGATTTATCTTTTGTTTTATGGGTAGTGGGTTACGGAGGCAACGCGGAGGTGGGCACTGCGCTGGCAGAATCAGGAGTGTTGACTGTCCGCTTGAGTACGGCCAGTAATCTTATTCGAATTAAACCATAATGGGAGGCGGGTTAGATATTATTACTTTTTCAATATGTGGTGTACCTCCAGTGGAAGTATTGCAGGGTTGAGTGGAGTGTACACTAGTCCGGAGGTCAAATCAAGCCATCCAATTCGTCTATCCCCCGGAGATTGTGGGTTGGCGTCAGATTCGTCTAGGAGGATATGATTACTGACTTCTATATCGAGCAGCCCCGCAAACCATTTCATAGGAAGCATAGAATTGAACGATCTGTTAAGTCAGTACTTTGACTGTAGCTCTTATTGGACCCTCATTCTCCTGTTTCTTTCTCCTGTCCTGTGTCTTCTGCACTCAGCCTGCTACGTATTCAAGAATCTAGAGTCTGTTCACTATGTATTCATATAGTAATTTTCGCTGGAGACGCTTGACGCGGTGCGGGGTTTCCACACCGTTCTCCACCTATTGCTGCTGCTTGCCCGCTTCACCGAGTGGATAGCGCGCTAACGCTGCGCCAAACCTAGTCCTCTGACACGCCCAGCGTCTGAAGTGGAAACGACTACAACTTCCGTTGAATCGTTTGGTAATGTATTGGAGTTCCGTGCCATATTGAGAGCATTTTCCACACTAAGTAACACTCGTCATTCAGATGCGTTTCTTACAAGCCCACAGTGAATGAGCCACGAAGAGTGATGAAGTTGGAATTTGGTCTCGACAAGCGGCGGCAGGAGCTCGATCCATGCGAATTACGACTCCGGCGTGATAAACTAAAGTGTCGAGTTGCCGTCGACTACAGGGGGCTGATGTTTTGTG